GTATTTATAATTGAGAAACTCATTTAACAGACATTTCCCTAAGAGCCTATGTGCCACGCGCCTAAAGAACACACAGATAAAAATCAGTTTTACCCCTGAAAAGCTGTTTCTTATGGAGATAAATCTATAAAATAAATAGATACCTGTATTTCATAAATTTGGAAATATCCCAATGAATGAAAAGCTCTTATAAATCACATGCATAACCAATGTAAAAAATCAAATATTACCTAAATGAACACAATCACTATACAATATTTTCAAAAATGATTGTGAAGTCCCATTAAGACGCTCATGTCCCAGAATTACTAGAACCATCAATGAAATGCAGACATGCAAGCATATGTTAAAACCATGTCCTCAATAAGAGAACAAAACAAATATATTTCAAAACAGATTTTACTTTTTTAAAGAAATCAGAGTAAATGTGCAGATGACCTACGAGTCCTACTTCTAGGAATCAGCCCTGAAGACACACCTCTGACGATACAAAAACACACACAGACAAAGTTACTCACTGCATCATCATCTGTAATTGCAAAGTATCGGAACCCTAAATGCCCACACACAGGGAAAGTGGCCGAATAAACTATACACTCCGTCCACACAACGCAGCACTACATCTCTTTTAAAAAAGAGGAAGATCTCTACAAACTGACATAGATTACAAGGACATACTACTAATGGAAAAAATTAAATTGCAGCGAAGAATGTCATCCTTCAGGTAAGAAATAAAGACACAAAAGAAAAACGTACATGTATCTGCTATTTGTGCAGAAGAAATACAGAAAGGTTAAACCAGAAACTAAAAACATTACTTATTTACAGTAGATAGGTGGGATTTGTGCAAAAGAAATACAGAAAGGTCAAATGAGAAAGTGGAGATTGGTTGCTTACACTGGGTCGGTGGGGAAGTGACAGAGGCTGGGAATGGGAGCAGGACAGGATGAACGAGGAGAGAGTGACATTTCTGTATCTTCTTACATAGCTCAGACTCTCGGAACCACACTAATGCTTCGCAAACCTTTTACATACCCCAAAAGCAAACCATTAAAATCAACCAGGATGGGGAGATAACCCATGATGGAATACGAACATGCACAGGACACATACACACACGCGTGTAACCAATGAACCTAAGACACAAATGAATAACAATCACAGTGTAGAGGGTGTGAAAGAACTAACCTAAGTAACTTCGAAACGTTTCTTGACTGATACTATGAGGCAAAAGACAGCACGAACTGCACAACCATCGCGTGATGTAGTTAATACGAGTGTTTCTCCTGGGGGAACAAAGTAGCACTCTGAAGCTACTTTATGTGTACATTAGACTGAAAAACAGTAAGTACACACATAGCGGACAAGAGCCAGGAGAAAGAAGTCACAAAGAAAAACAGAAATGAATTCTGTGCTGCTCGTTTAGAATCGGAAGCATCAGTATAAATTCATGGTTTTTAACACACGTAGACACGTAAACATGTATTGGTCAATACATACACACGTATCTCCTAGCTCTATACGCTGAAAAGGCCGAAAAGCGATGGCACCCCCGTGGCAATAAGCACATCAAAATGAGCTGCTGTCATTATTTAATGACAATACTCTCGAAACTACATGTCTGTAACGAACACCACAATAGATCTACAATCGTTTTGTTTCTGGGGGAAAAGCATTTAGTACACCATTCCCCAATTAAAGGAAAGTGGTGGTTTCCAGGGCTGGGGCAGGAAAAACACAGGATGATCCTGTAGTCTCGCGCGGTGTCAGAGAGTGTTCGAAAAAGGATGGCAACTTTGAAATGACTCTGGAGCCAACTCAAAGGTGTTCCTACCTAATGGCCGAAGGTAGAATGATTTGAGCAAAATAACGATAGTAGTATTGAATTTAAACCCACAGAATAAATTAAATATCCAAGAGTCCAACCACGCTGATATAAATAAATAAAATAAATAAATGGGGGGGGAGTAGAGGCACAGCTTTTTATCACAAAAGAATTCTAAGAAATAAATGAAGAAGGAAAAGGCAAAACAGAAAATCGCCATTAAGCAAACACCACAGTGATAACCGCTGCAGACAAGATCAGCCAATGAATGCAACAATTAGTGGGCTTAGTTTGAGGAGAAAAAGATTTGCACAGTCTGAATGTAGCTCCCCTAAGACATTTATTATCTACGAAGGGAAAGGAAGTAATTTTACGGCGGAGCTACCTGGTAAGGACCACCTGAAATGACACACTAGAAGATTCCTCTTACATAAACCCCTTACATATAACATCTCCGTGGTATTCCATGCAAAGCCTCATTCTACCCATGTGAGTACGTCAAACAAACCCAAATTGAGAAACATCCCGCAAAATATCTGACCAGTACTCTTCAAAATTCTCAAAGTCATGAAAGACAGGAGAACACTAAGGAACTGTCAGAGATTAAAGGAGACTAAGTAACAATAACAAATGTAGGATGGGATCATGGACAGGATCCTGGAACAGAAAAATAAATTAGTGAAAAAGTTGGTAGGCTACAAGTCAGATCTGTAGTTTAATCGTATCGCACGAATGTAAATTTCCTGGTTTTAATAATTACAGTATAGTTATGTGTTAAAACATTAAAGGATGCTGGATGAAGGGGTATATGGTATACGCAGGGGGTGCTGATATAGGGAAGACAACTCTTCGGTACTGTTTTGTGCAATTTTTCTGTAAGACTAAAAATAGATCAAAGTAGAAAGTTAAAAGAATCTCCTGGTCTGCCGTTCTGTTTTATAATGGTTTAAAACAGAACACCGGCCGGGCGCAGTGGCTCACGCCTGTAATCCCAGCACTCTGGGAGGCCGAGGCAGGAGGACTGTTTGAGCTCAGGAGTTCGAGACCAGTCTGAGCAAGAGCAAGACCCCGTCTCTACTAAAAAAATAGAAAGAAATTAGCTGGACAACTAAAAATATATATATAGAAAAAATTAGCCAGGCACGGTGGCACATGCCTGTAGTCCCAGCTACTCGGGAGGCTGAGGCAGGAGGATCGCTTGAGCCCAGGAGTTTGAGGTTGCTGTGAGCTAGGATGACGCCACGGCACTCACTCTAGCCCGGGCAACAAAGCGAGACTCTGTCTCAAAAAACAGAACACTGAAGACCTTCGTTTTGTCCCACTGAAACTTGAGTTTAATATAAAAAAAAAAAAAAAGTCATAATTTTAAGTTACAACCTAAAACTCTGCGACAAGACTGGAGCTATGAAATGGAGCGACACTGTTTCGTTCGGTCTTCAGCAGAACACGCACGATACGTATCAAACTCTTTGTTTCTGCTGCTACCTTACGCTAGGAAGGAAGATCTATTTGAAGGAACTAACAGACTACATAGACAGCAGGCTGAAAATCAAGTTTATAAACATGAGAAATTATTTAATGACAATACTCTCGAAACTACATGTCTGTAACGAACACCACAATAGATCTACAATAGTTTGTTTCTGGGGGAAAAACATTTAGTACATTAACTATAAATAGCAGTTTGAAACAGAAGCGTGTGTGTGTGTGTGTGTGTGTGTGTGTGTGTGTGTGTGTGTGTGTGTGTGTGTGTGTGTGTGTGTGTGTGTGTGTGTAACATGTACTCTTGTTTTGGTTAATTCTTTGGGGGTGGAGGGATGGACTGAAAGAAAAACAGTTTTTAACTAGAAAATATATGCACAGTTGATCAAAATTTACTGAAGAACAAACCTACATTTTTAGGCAATCTTTCAAAATCAGTCCTCTGTTCTGAATTAGCCATTAACTAGTACCCCCTTATCATTAAAATACATATTCATAAAACTTTTTCAGTTATGCTGTTCTAGTTACAAATAGGTTCTACTTTTCTAGGACATAATTTCACTTTGTTTAAGCAAGAATTCATTAAAGAAGCTATAAATACCCTTCAAATATTTAGCCATGAACAGGGGGTGGACTGGCACTGATGGGTTATTTTAGTGCTGATGCAGAATGCTTTTTAAAAGCTACATTTCAGAATGCATCAAAGCTCAACGATTAACTTGCAGTGTAATTTTCAATGTTAGAATAAATTTCTCTTCATTTTAAGGAGTTTTGCTCAAAGTAAATTTGTTATTTCAGTTATTTACGAGTAGGAAAATAACTCTAAAGAATAAAAATGTTGAGAAGATTAGAACATAAGAAATTTTTATTTAAAAAGTCTATTTTTTAGCATCTAGACAACTTTTCCTTCTCTCCCAAAACATCATCCCAGGGAAAACTGCACATGCTAAGGGAGAAGGGGTACCCATGGGACTGCAAGGATGTGTCAGGAGGTGCAGGCAGCACACACACGAATCAAAGACATGTCTACACTCTGAATCATAAAGTTCACAACATTTTAGAGACCAAGTTTCATAAAATTTTTACTTGAAAAAAATGTTTTACAAAATATCATACTTCCAACCAAAGAAACTTTCCCATAGGGTCCACGGAGCTCTCTGCCTTAAAGACTGCAGCATGAAAATTAGAGGGGAGAGGTTTTTTTTAAATAGCCACCTAGCTGCAAAACCTACAAGAGAAGTAGATTTTATTTTAAAGTGCCTTCAAAATGCAAAAGCAAGTAATATAATTGTTGAATCTGTTTGAAAGTCAAAAATTTTCTTTAAAATGGTCCATATGGTAGGCACAACATCACAGCTGGTACAGAACTGCCTGTGTTTAGTTCGAAACACAAAACAACACATATGAACAGTATTCTTTGAAAAGTAACTCAAAACGCTGCTACTGCATCATAAGGCAAACTCAGACAAGAGTGTTGACCGTATTCAGAGAATTAACAGAACAAGCTGAATATTGAAGAATTCAAACGTTTACTTTGATTTTTTAAACACCACAGATAAGGGTAAAAGAACCTGTTGCCAAACTAACTCAGGATGCCTCATTTCCATCAACATGTAACACACTCTGCTATCTGTACTCTAAACAAAAGCACAACTGGGTTTTCGAGTGTAAATTCCCGTTTCCTAGGCAGGGCCTAGTTTTTCTGTTGCAATCTGGCAGCTTTGAACTTTGAAACCCTCTTTACAGTTTCTTCTGATGCTTCTGACAGAACTTCTTTCCGTTCTGGAATGGTGGGGAGCGCGGGGTGCGCTATGGCTGGGTACGGTGCTAAGGAGGGCGACAAAAACTCTTTCTCTATTACAGTTCCAGAAAAAGCCTAGAAGACAAAAGTCGGGTTATGATAATAAAATGCAAACAAGATGCCCACAAAATTTTTATTCTCTATTCACAAATTAGACATTTCTTTTCATTAAAAGTAAATTCGCAAGATTTTGGGCTAGACAATACTACAACATCAAAACACTAATTGTTTAGAGAAATCAAGTACCATTGAGATTTTTCTTAATTACACTACCAAATGTAAGTAATTTTCATAGTACACATGCAAGAAAACAAAATGTAGAACGTGTGCATTATATCAGAAAAAACAAAAACGGATAAATAAAAGGTCTTCAAACCTTCACACGTTCCATCCACGTCCAGCCCATGCTGTGAAAAATTGCGCATTAAGGTAAGAAATGCTACCAGGGTGTCAGATTCAGACTCTTGCACGTCAACTGACGAAAGAGCTACCCTATGGTGGCCAGGCTGCCTGCTAGCCGACAGCGTCACCCGTACCGACGTCTCTTCGGTAGTGTTCGTTTGTGCAATTATCTGAATATTTTATTTAAGAGATCAGTGGGAACTGAAAAATGAAAGTGCTGATCGTAGGGGGAATAAGTGTAGGTTTTAAAATTTCAACACAATTAATTCAGTGATAGAAGGAGAAGTTCTAAGAAAACATGACGCTTTAATTTCAACTGCATGCCTGATGGACTTAATCTGGTCAACAACATGTCCACTGGAACGAAATTAAATAATGTGTATTATTTGCTGGAAATCTCTTTAGGTATCTTCTTAAATAAAAACCAAGGAATCCTTATGGTTTTTAAGACTTCTGGTATTTGGAACCTCCCCCCTCACATCTTCTAAGAACTTACTATACGCAAACTAACATTGGGCACGCAAACTTTCACGTATATTTTGTTTCTCTTTGTCTCCCAAGTGCTCAAAATTAGTTAAGACAATGTACACCCGAATAGTTTAAAAAGCCACCCTCTTGCATCTTGCCCCACCAATGAAATAAAAGCAAAGACTGATACCTCCCTCCCACAGCATTGTTGGTGTCCAGCTCTTAAGAGAAGCTTAAAGTTTGCTTTTGAAAAACTCCACTTTATCATGATGAGCACAGAGCCTTCTTATATGTAAAATGCTTTTGAAGACAATATTTTAGTATTTAAAAAGACACTGAAAAGAATATTTTTCCAAGTATTTGCCATAATCATGAATTATTTCTTTGATGTTAAGAAATTTATAGCATCTGCTGTAACAATTCAGTACAAAATGCAAAGCTAATAATGGTGAGAGGAAAGTAAGCTGCACACACGGGCTATACCACGATACATCACGTCCTTACAAAACACTAACTTTCAAATATTTATCGACATTAAGTCTACATCCATTACCTGTTTTCCAACAGTAGGAAGACTATTAAATAAGGTAAGTTACTTTCCAGGTCACCTAAGATCATTATACTGGAAGGAGGGGAGAGAACATTTTAATAATATGCACAGCCCCCAAATGCCAATGATCCATTTAGTACAATCAGTACCACTCAGTGCAAGCAGTGGAATTTTATATATGCTTATTTATATATCAATATATTTTAGACGTATGCATTTTGTTGTATAAACCAATGTGCATATGGGTTTAATACAGGTATGAGTTCTTTTTGAATACTTTTTGATCTTCTTGAACACTTTTTAAATTAAAAACTTCAAATACCCACCAAAGCACAAGAATAAAAAAACTCAAGTCTGCACATAATGGAACCATAACCGTATGTTTCATAGACAGGAATTCTTATTTTGGGATTTCCCAACCTACCCCCACCCAAACTGTATGCACCATGGGGGTGAAAGTGTGTGTGCACTAATTTTTTCTGGAGAGAGAGTCCATAGCTTCCAACAGATTGTAAAATGATTCCACAATCCCCCAAGAGTCAAGTTTTACTGGCATACGCCACAACACAGAGGAACTTTAATAATTATCTGCTGCATATATATACTTTTCTTTAATTCAACCACAGCATTTAGAAGAGAATAGTATAGTCTGCAACTTAAACTGTCAGAAAATTACTATAGTCTGGTCCAATGGGAGTTCTTTTTAAATAAACCACTAAATAATTCTTTTAGCCAAAAATAGAACATTTATGCCAATTAAGATATTTTAAAATCCCCATTTCACAGAAATAGAACTTTGAGACAGGTAATACTTTAACTAAAAATTTTTTGGAACTATCTGAATATCACTCTACCTATAGATGTTTTTTTTTTTTTTTTTTATTGAGACAGAGTCTCACTGTGTTGCCCGGGCTAGAGTGAGTGCCGTGGCATCAGCCTAGCTCACAGCAACCTCAAATTCCTGGGCTCAAGCAATCCTTCTGCCTCAGCCTCCCGAGTAGCTGGGACTACAGGCATGTGCCACCATGCCCGGCTAATTTTTTCTATATATTTTTAGTTGTCCAATTAATTTCTTTCTAATTTTAGTAGAGACGGGGTCTCGCTCTTGCTCAGGCTGGTTTTGAACTCCTGAGCTCAAACAATCCGCCCGCCTTGGCCTCCCAGAGAGCTAGGATTACAGGCGTGAGCCACCGCGCCCAGCCCCTATAGATTTTTTAACACGTGATTATCAAGAAAGCACAAACCTAGAATTAAATCATGTGACCTTTCAGATTAAACAGCAAAAACTGGTGAAAATACTCTATAAGTAGTAAATAATTAAAGATACACACACACCTCATGTGTTCCAGATAAGGGCGGAAGTTTCTTTTGATGATTTCCTTGCTGTGGCTCCTCTTCCAGAATGTTCTCCCCAGCGTCACTGCAAGTGGCTTCTTCGCAGCTGACGCTCCGCAAAACACCCCGTCGGTCATCGAGTTCAGCGGCGCTGCTCTCGCTGGTGTCACTGCACACGCTGTTCTCTCTGCTCCTGGACTTCAGGATGGATTTGCGAGGGACGTACTCTCCGTTCACGACATCAACGAAGACTCTGTGATGTTAAAGAATATACGTTCAATTTAGGTAACCTGTAAAACTGAGAACAACTACAAAGATGTCTTTAAATCTTTTCTAGAAAATAACCTAAATTTTTTAATTAAAACTGTGTATCTAAAATTTTCACATTCACAATAATTTCGCAGCCTCAAATGGCATCTTTTGTATTATTCTGAAAGACGTGACTTCTTTCGCCAACTAAAATACAGCAGGTTATTTTTAAGCATGTTCTAGGTGACAGTAGCTTGATTTGCCAGAATTCTCTACAGACTTTCAGATCCACTTATAAGACATTTAGCAATTTTCACTGTTTTATAAACATGGGTCATGAAAACAGGTATTTTTGAATGACGGCCTTCCCAACAAACAATGCAACAAAAACCTGAAATACTATAATGAATTTTTACTCTGAAAAGGTAAACTGTGTGCCAAGCATTATAGCTGTGGTAGGAAAGTACTGCCCTGGCCAACTAGAAACACGAACTTTCATTTCTAAAGTTAAGACACAAGATTTCCTGACTAGACCAAACTGAGAATGTTTCGACAGCACCGGTGAAGAGGGAAAAGAGGAAAAAACAGACAACATTCCAACTGCTTTGGACCGGGAAGCCGTGGCGCCCAGCCGTTCAAATCCTAAGCTAACTCCATCAGACCCCTTCACTTTTCAGAGTCTTCTGTGTGGCAGACAGCTCTTTCCTGCAGAGGCTCCACTGCAAGAGGAGGAAGGCACTGGCAGACTGCCCCGTGCCTGGCGACCTCCACGCACCTGTAAATGTCAGCGGGAGTCCTGATCGCGGGCAGCTCCTGGGCAGAGTGGCCACTGCCAGAGCTGCTCTTCCGCTTGCGTTTGGCTTCTTCTTTCTTTTCGCTGAATTTTAAAGTGGTGTTTTTTCCAGTATTTATTCGGACCTAAAAATTTCACAGCAAAAAGTTAAGAACCTTCTGAGAAGTTATACAGAGGCCAAAACTGAAAAAATAAACTCTATAATCAAAGGAATAATAGTTAAGGCAAAATTTCAGGCAGCTGAAATTTTTTGATGCTGAAATGATGTGCATTATCAGGTTGGGTAAAAAAACCTTACCTTTTATTTCTATGACATTAAATAAAATTTTCTTTAATGACCAATTCTAGTCTTCAGTGTCTTTATTATTATACAGAAAGCAAAATACTTAAACTAAATGCTAGATTTATTATAAGCTTCATATAACCCCATTACTGTGATACAAGTTTTTGGCTTAAATTGTGTCATTTCAAAACAAAGCACAGTTAACCAAAATGCTTAACTATTAGGAATTTTTTTAAATGCCTCTAATTTCTAGAAATTGAAGGACTGTAAAGACGAACCCTGTTCAGAATTAACATGCTACCCTCCATCCCTACTCAGCATTTACCCCATCCTTTCCATGTTAATGACTGTTCTTCCCCATAACATTCCTGCAAATATTATTTATTCTTCCTGTTTTATCTAAATGAAAATAAGAAAAAATTAAAAGCCTGAAAAAAGAATCACGAAACATACTTTTTTTCTAATTATCTCAGTCAACTTTCTGCAAAGAATTCAGAAGATTATCTCTTTAGTTTGACATATTAGAATACAAAAAAAAGGTAATTATTTCACTTTATATTAATATTACAGCAAGAATAACTTAAGGAATCTACAAAATACCAAATATGTTTTAAACATGTTTCACTAAATAATCATCACACACACTTAAGACCAATACCACAGATCCTTAACTCTGACGCAGGCATCGAATTTTAAATCGGAATGAGCAGGAAACTGAGACGGAGCAGTCCCTGTTCTATCACTAACCAGCTCTGTGTCTTCTCAGCCTACATTTCACTGAGAAAGATGAATTAGAAAGATGACTTCCCGGTGTCTCCGCAGAGCAGTGCATGGAGCAGAGAGGGCACGGGTGGGCTAAGGCAGCCTGTCCTCCCTCAGCCGGAGCCCACCTGCTGTGATCTGTTTTAAATACTGGGATTCTACAATAAGTGTGGAGGGAACAAAAGGTTTTTGATACCAAAGAAAAGCTTGAAAACTCTGTATTAGAAAATCTCCAGTCACCCCAGTTCTAAAATGCCAAAATTCTCACGTCATGATTATCCATAGGTGTTTATATTTACTGTCAGAAAGGGAACTAATTTTTATTTCCTCCTAAGATTCCCATTCTGTGCAAGATGTTCTTATTCGTTTTATGCCCACATGGAAACAACAACCGGGCATAATTAAAAACTTAACTAATACAGTCACTTTCACCATCCTAAACACACCAAAATGTCCATAATTAACTTCAGGATTCTTAAGAAAACTCTCTGGATGAAGGACAGGTGAAGTTACAGCAGTTGCCACTCAAATCTGATCCCTTTCCAACTCCCAAACACCACACTGTTTCAGAGAACAATGGACCCAATCCAGCAAACTAGATTTTTTTTTTCTTTTAGATAAATTGGTCAGAACACAAGGCAAAAGATGATTTTCCTATTTGAAACTAGAACAACGTTACTCACTGTTAATACTACTCTTTTAGAAAATATCATATTTTTAAAGATATTTAATGTCCAAATTCTTAATATATACAAAATCAGTGAAGTTAAAAGCATACAAACCCTCTTGGGCTCAACAGTGTGAGAAAAGTATATCGTTGGTACAGAATCATCTCCAACCCCGAAAGCATCATGGTCATTATCACCATCGTCATCGTCATCATCATCTTCGTGACTGTGATAGGAATTTGAACCGTTCACGGAACAGTTCGACTGAGTATGCGTGTGACCACTGAACAGTTGTGCACTCGTCCCCTCCTCGTGACGACTGCCGAGAGTGAGAGGGGCTGCTCCTTGATGCGCCACATCCACACGCGTGTTTCCATCGTCCTTTTCCTCTTCGGAAGACGCTGCATCTTCCCCATTTGCAATCACAGCATCAGGGTTACTGGGAAAGAAAAGGAAATCAACGAGGTCTAACAAATGCTCTAGAATTTCACGTACGTTAATTTTCAGTTCATTTCAATGGGTAAAAATTAAAATTTTGAATAAGGTGCTTTTTAAACTAGAATTCTAGGTTAAAAAAGAAAAAATGTTGAATTAAAAAAAAATTAGTTCCTATGCCATTTCTGTATACTGCAGTTATTTAAACATAAGTAGAATGCAGATGACAAGAATTTTATCTTTGCAGGGAAGATACCATATACAATATAAATACAGTATCAATAATATAATAAGAAATTTGTCAGAAATTCAGAATATGTTATTTCTATTTAAAGACCAGAAATTAAAACCACGGAACTATAATACACTCTTGTTTTCTATTTCTATACTCAGAATATTTTAAGTATTATTATAATTTTAAAAAATAAAGGATTTTTGAATATGAATATACTTATTTTGAAATGAATATACTTATATTTATATACACAAATGCACATTTATCATGCTTCATTCTATAAGAGATTTGAGGACCTTACAGAAATAATAAAACCAAAAATGCAATAGGACTGAAATAACATCACACAAAAATAGAAAGAGAATCACGACCAAGAAAATCACAATATCCAAAACTGGTTCTAAAAAATGAAACAGTATCAGTTAATCAAAAAGACCTAAGAATTTATAGGTGAAATGAAAGGGAAAAATCCTTTTGTGCTTCCTGTCCTATTTTTCACAGAAACTAATTACTGCATATGGTACACCATTTAAGCAAAATAACACAGGAACTTCTATAGTAGCAGACTTCGTTTAGCACTTTAACAATTCTAAGTGGGTGCTAATGTGTACTTCAGTTTGGTAAAGTTTCTCATACATATTAACTATCTGACCAGATTACACATTGCCTGCTCAATAAATAGAAAAGTTTGTAAAAGGAGAGCAAGTATAAATATTTCACAGTATCAACCTTAAATTCAAAGCAATTCTTTCAACAAGGCATTCGAAGAGCATTATCCTGAGTGTAATACAAAAATACTTCATGTAAAATTTAACACACAAAGCATCTATAATTATTAAAAGTCAACTATCTGGTATAATTATTATATAAACCATGGCTGAAATTTTATAATAAAAATTGAAGATGTTGATCTTAAGTATTTATGTACATTCACATGCATGGAACTATGCACAAACACACAGTCCTAAAAAAACATTCTTGTAGTGGAAGCATTATTGATAATTTAATATAGTATGCCTTTCTGTATTTTCTTCAATGAGCAGGTATTACTTTATTAATGAGGAAAACGATTAATGAAGAAATTGTGTACAGAGACAAACTCTACTAGAGAGATAATCTGTCATGAAGTACCTATCGAGTTCACCCAGCAATTCTTCTTGTCTCTCCAGCTCTTCAAGCCGAGCCCACAGCTCCTTATCAGCAAGCAAGTCT